GAACTGATGAAACGACTGCTGGTCGCCTGGGACCCACGAAAACTATGACAAGAGGTGTTACATCACATTCTGAACAACTGAAATCGAGGGTAGGACTGAGCACTGACCCCTTGTGTCAAAAGCAAAAACAAACAGCAATAGGATTCTCAATTTGTGTACAGAAAATGCAAGTTCGGTCTTTATGCACTGTAGTCTCTGTTTATAATTGAGGGAGCACCACCCTCGATAAAAACATTGCCACATGCGCAGATCTGATGCACGCATCCACTGCCCTCACACACTTACAGAGTGCAGAGTGCAGTCACGTGGCAAGAGTTGTCGGTTCCAAGTATATATCTTACATCTCCCACTGCTCAACTCCATAGTAGGGGGCTCTTTTTATGCCAAAGGGGAGGGTGAAGGGTGGATGAACAGCAGCATAGCCAAAGGTCTCAGGTTTAAACCCTGCATTGCTTTATTAGTCTAAGAACTGGGCCAAGTTCAAGGTTTAGTTGAGTCAAAAACATGGTTTGATTGTAACTGACATCAAAATGGGAAACAGTGATTCATACAAAAAGCATTTGAACTACGAGTGGATACTCCACCATAATACCATTCACACCACAAAAAGTCAAATGACTTCCTTGAACTCAAAATTAGCGTAAGTGTCAAAGTTGTCCAAGTACATATTGACGACTTCGTGACAGAACACGTAGTGATCCTATGTAGAGACAAAAAGAGGGCACACATTTCTTTAACACTAGCAGTAGGTTGTAACTAAAGGCTAACTCTGCTTCATGCAGTGACTCAGCACTTGTAAAAATGAGGTAGAAAGGCAAAGGCAAAACAAACAAGTCAACTACACCCAGGAGAGCTCTTTTTCCAAGGAGAAAGAAACTGCCCTGGGTGGGATTCGAACCCACGAAACTCTGCGGTCTAGGTAGCAAAGCACACCTGAAGTCACGTAAAAAGAGCAAAACTCCACAGTTTTGTTGACGAGGCCAGGTCTGTGAAGACGAGCTGACTTGATGGCTGGAGAAAGTCCACCACACCCCTCTGTCTGAGTCTCTCCAACTGGCAGTGGATGGTGAGAAGGTTCTGTTCGACTCCCCCATCACTGCAGAGGACAATAGTCCACTCACACACACTCCCTCTCCACATATACCTGCACATGATGACTGTTCGCCTGTTCCCACACCTCATCTGTGTAATGGTGAGCTTGTCGATGAGAGACGGATTGCCGTGGGTGAAGACCCTGCAATGGCCATCTTGTCAGCTGGAGCATGGGCGGACCATGTGAGTCTATCAGTCGAGCTGCTCCCTCCACCATCTCCAGCTTCCTAGTGACAATGTCTCCGTGAGTCTTGACTGACACCAGTTTGACAGACAGTTTCCCGTGCACCACAGACTCCCTCCTCCTCTGGCAGAAACAGCAGCTACTCTCCTACAGTGTAATGTGCACACCTGGTAGGGGGGAGGGGAATGAAGGTAATTACCTCTCCCTCTTCCTGGAGCATGACTACACAGCCACACTGGAACTCGTGACCATCCTCCAGAAGTCAGCCACTGTGTTCTCCAGAGGGCACTGGGTAGCTATGTGGCACCTTTCTGCTTGTAGCCTGACACCAGATAAGGACTTGTGTCATGGAGTTAGAATAGTGGCTGCATTTCCTTATGTTGACAAAGGAGGCATTGATGTAGTCTGAACCTGGCATGGGTCCACATCTCAGTCTCACACGATAAGTGTCATCTATGTCAATACAACACACACACATACTTCCACGTTCACATGTTTGACTGGGCATGTTTGTGTATCAACAAGCCAACCACTTACTGTTGCACACACACAGTAGCATCAACAACATACACTCACTGGGTAGTTGTCAGGGAATCTGTTCTTACTCCTGTTGTACTCCTCCTCTGCATAACTCAAGTACTGGATGGTGAGAACTCACCTCCTCAATTATCTGTAAATATTGGCCATACAAAACTCTGTGTCTAGTGCCAGTCAAAAACCTGCATCTGCCTCTGGAAGCCAGTAAATCCAACTGGTCCCTTGTTCTTCAAGGTTTTGATGGCAATTCTGAGGTTGGCTGCAGCCACCTCTGTCTCCCCACACACCACCAGCTCACTCAGACCACAGTGAATGAACTCATACTGATTCTGTATTACAAGAGGTTCAGCATTCACATATTTAAACACTGTGTGCACTAAATCCATGCAGTAACTCTTCCCTTGAGTACTTATAGCTCCTATCCCATGTTGCTTGTTAGAAGTTAATGAAAGGGTCCACCCCATTTCTCTGACCTGGCTCTGGACCATCTTCATTCTCTGCATGCGTAAGTTCCTCAGCCAGTGGAGAACACTGATAGTGCCCTCTGTCTTCATCTGCTGCATGATGATGTCCAGGAGGATGAGTGTCCCCGTACGCCCCACCCCCGCACTGCAGTGGACCAGCAGTGGCTGCTGGTGGGAGACGGGGTGGAGTTTACGGACGTGACGGATGAAGGCAATGAGAGACATGACGTTGTCGGGCACTCCGTGATCAGGCCAGGCCGTGTAGTGGAGATGACTCACTGTCATGTGCTTACTCTCTGACTCTGACAACTAGACATGTACACACAAAGAGGGTGAAATAAAAAACGGTGAAAGAGACTTACGTTTTCAAGTTTGAATTTCCTGAATTCATACTCGGCAAACGGCATGTTGGAAGAGAAGGTGACACGGAACTTTTCCCCCCACACTGAGGGAGTCATGTAGCTTCTCTGGCCAGTACTGCACACACTTGACCTGAGGATTAGTAGCATAAAATTTGTGTGTGCATCAGTCAGTCATGATGTCGGTCAATAACAACATCACAACTATCTTCATGCATTACAGTGGAACCTCGGAACAAGGGGACACTTTTGGGCAAATGATTATGTCACTTGTAGAGAGTCTGTCCCTACCTCGGAGGTCATATAATACACTAAAGTATTAGGATGGGGCTGAAACAAGGTCCTTGTAGTTTGTCCCTCCACAGAGTCAAATAATCACCAAAGTTTAGGATGGGGTTGACAAAAGTGTCCTTGTAGAGCGGTCGTCCTTATCTCGGAGGGTCCCTTATCAGAGGTTCCACTGTATTGTATGCCATACCTTCCCAGCCTCAGTACACTGGGTGAGCATGAGTATTGTTGGTGTCTCATACTCCCAGACCATCCTCCAGAAACGCTCCACAGACACATCCACTGGCCCTGTTGTGGTATAGGACAAGTATATGCACCATGTTTACTGCTAATAGTGCTTTTTATGTATGTTCAGTTGTATGTATGACCTTGTGCTGCGATATAGGCATTTTTCATCCCTCCATACCCCTGTGATAGAATCAAAATATACACACGACATTATTGTGAAGTTCTGTGTATTTATAGTCTCACATCAATGAAAGAGGCATTGATATAGTCACAGCTGTCCACTCCAGGGGTCGCCTTGAGACACACGCGAGACCTGTCATCTGCATAATGTTACATAAGGTGTCTACTGCTGTGTATATAGCAATAGATATCTGATAATATGTGTATCAAGCATGGCAGCTCACAAGGATAGATGTTGTTGAATCTGTTGTGTGCCTTGTTGTGTGGTAGGACAGCCACAGTGGAGGGTGGTTGAGGTAGCTTTCCCATGGCCTGTGTATGTTTACAGAAATGGTGCTATCATCACACTCTCCCACAGTGTTGGGGGAAAAACATGCACAACAGTTTATTTGCACTGTTTTTTCTGTCTGCCTACATAGTATACACAAGCATTCCTCAATCACGCGGAAGGAAACCATATAAGGAGATCTTACCGAGAACTCTTCTTTCAGTTTATGTTCCTCTCCATACAGCATGTCCCTCACATACTCTGGGAACCTCTCAGTCGGTATTGGGTCAATGTCTGCCACTGGGAAAGTGAAGAGAGTGAATGGTGTTTCCTTTTCCTGTGTAAATGTATTGGGCTACCAATATTTACATAATATGGACGTAGGATCTTGAAAGTAATCTTCAGTTTCCTCCTGCATCTGGTTTGGGACTCCATCCTCCTCACATGTTTCATCATCCACCACCACATTCACGAGAGGACCCTCCATTTCAATGTCTTCAGTCTTTCCCTCTTCTCCCTCCCCAATACTGCCCTCCCCTACACTGCCTGTTGGATAGCTCTTTCTTGCTATAGACAAGTTGCCCTCTTTGAACGAGTACCTCTTCCTGGCATTACGCTGGTGTCTGAGGAAGCATACATTAAGCATGGTTATTATAATTACTCCCACTGTACATTACCTTAGCAAAAATGAATATTATTACGATTACTGTTGTTAGAACAGCAATGAAGACTGAAATACCAACAGCAACTGGTACAGCAAGGGAAGACCCAGACCGACCATCTAGCTCTGTGTGCTTGTCTGAAACAGAAAGTATGCTAAAGGTTCACATTTTCAAACAGGGTTATCCTTGAGAAACTATGTTCACATGCGTACATTGTCATAAACTGAGTGGCTGATGGGTTTGCCAGCCAATGGATCACATACCTGATTTCATGTTCATGGTAGGTAGTGCAGTTTTGGCACTGCTCTTTCTAGTGTTAGTGGCCAGGGCTACTGAAGCTGTGACAAACACAGCAATCAGATTAGAGCTATGACAATAATGGATCAAGAACACATTAATCCACTGGCATAATGAAAGCTGTATATACAAGTGGAAAAATCATTTCTTCAAAATGAAAGGGGGATATAGGGATGGCTTGAAGCACCAAAAAGGAAGAAACAAGGGGTCATCACACAGCAAAGTTGCACAAAGCTACATGACACCATCCCTATATCTTTGTTCGATATTAAACTTTGCTTATAAACAATAAAACAACGATATAGGGATGGTGTCATGTAGCTTTGTGCAACTTTGCTGTGTGATGACCCCTTGTTTCTTCCTTTTTGGTGCTTCAAGCCATCCCTATATCCCCCTTTCATTTTGAAGAAATGATTTTTCCACTTGTTTCCATTATTTTTTAACAGCTTATGACAACACTGCATTTATTGCTACAGTCACTCTGATGTTCATGGGTATGTTGTAGATAGGCTACTATAGACAAATTGTAACTGTAGTAGTAGCTAATGGGGCTGCTAGTGCCTGAAGCAGGGGCTGGATACCACATTCACCTCGTCTTCAACACGGATGTAATTAGATTATTGCACATGGTTGTGGTTTCATGGGCAGGCTTTGGTAATCAGGCTACAAACCTTGGGGGCCGATGGACTGGACGCCCCGCAAGGCTCGCGTAACACCGCGCAGACTCTGGCAAGTTGCTCTTCGTGCAAATCAACAGCAAGCTAGCCAGTTGCAAATGTGCACACTTACTTACAGAAGGTACTGGAAGCTGACAGTTCCTCTGCAGGTCTGCCAACTCGCCTGGTATACGCTCGCAAGCGCATGTGGTGGACAACGCCCCTGCCTGGCGCATGCGCGCGGCTCACTGATGCTGAGTTAGCAGCAAATGGCGTTGTTCAGTGTCGACCTTGGAAGAGCTCCATGATCTACCGTAGTGACTAGCGGCGAGAAAGAACCGATCGCTTGATGTCCGTGCACACCTCGGGCGAAATTGGAGACGTTCAGTGAAAAAATTAGCGCTTCAACTTGTTCCAGTAAGGAGAAAGCGGGTCTAAAGAAGAAGAAGAAGAAGAAGAAGAAGAAGAATATGATGACGCCAAAATCGTGAAATCGCGTAAGAGCGAATTCTCGCGTGGACGACTGAAGGTGGGTATGAGGTCTTGGGGGACATGTATAGGTAGATATGTGCCCGTAGACTATTGCTAGTATGTTTTGAAGGCCTGGGGAGTGATTCTCAGCGAGTTTTTAGTCGTTTTGTACGCGGATCACGTGAGATTTCACCCGTGTCATCCCTACCGACTCTCTGATTACCAACATGTGGTTGTGTGGCTTATTTCTTTTGTGCACAAGATTCTACCTGGGCTACAACAACAATACCTGACATAATCTCCATTGTTGTGATTGTTTATGACGTACTCAAAACTGCTCCTAGTACTGATATTGAGAAAGATGGAGGCAGAAGAGGAGACAGGACTAGCAGGTCCCAGGAGAGGAGTGAGGGTAACACGACACTCGTATGTGGCCATGTCAGAGAAGTGGACAGGACTGAATGTGAGGCTACTGTGTACACCACCCACATCACCAGTGGCTCCAGATATGGTGAGTCTTGAGTCAGGTCTCACTGGGACTCCCTCTTGAAACCAAGTCACCTCCACTGCTACATCTCTTCCTCTCACCACTCCAATCAGATCAATATCACAATATACTACCACATCTTCTCCCTCTAGAGCATTGTTTTGGCTTTTAATTAGTTTCAGGGATGGAGATTTAACTGAAATTGATGATGGAGAGATACATGAAACGCCATCATTCTAAATAACTAACTTACTAATTGGGAATAGTTGTTCATCGTCACTGCCACTGTGTGTCTCTCTGCATACAGTGTAGTTAGCAGTACAGGAATATTTTCCTCCATGAGCCAGGGTTAGTGGATTTAGAGATAAATTTCTTGTTACTGTTGATAAATCACCTGGCATGATAATAGTTTGTTCATCAGTGGATGGTCCGCGCCACTGGATGGAGACAGAGCTGTCTCTAGCTCTGTGGGAGAGAGCCACTGTGCAGGTGAGAGTGTAGACTGAACCTACTTCCCTTGATCCTGAACCAACCAGCTCCACTGACATATCTGGATATAATTATATAACACGAACACTTACAGGGGTGTAGAGATTACTTACTTATAGCAGTGATACATATGCTTTCAATTACTAATCTTGATGACACTCCATTGGTCGTGTAGCTGGCAGTACAGGTATAGGATCCAGGCTCGTTTGGCAGTAGAGGGTTCAGTGTTACATGGCTGATGTAGACTCCAGCAGTGGTCATGACAGGCTGTGGTTGTTGTGGTAGTCCCAGCCACTGGATATCAAGAGAGTCTGGCTCCACTCTACTGGGTAGACTGACTCTACATGTCAGTGTGTATGAGGTCCCTACCACTCCTGACCCTTCTCCTGACACCACCACCTCTGGAGACTCCGCTGACACTGAATGTACAGGAATTTTAAAAATATCTTTGAGTATACTAAACTTAGCTACCAGGAGTAACAGGTCCAGCCACAGGACTGGGAAGGTCTACCAGAGCCACTAGAGAGATAGTGTGGATCCCTCCAACTGGAAGACCAGTCAGTAGATGACTATTGTCTCTGGATCTCCCACTGTCAGTGAAGGACACACTGTGACTCTCTCCTCCAGACTCATAGTAGACCACATAGCTATAGTCATAGATGGGTGCACTGGCAAATGTCCACTCTAGTGAGATACTGGTGGGGGTCTTGTAGGTAGCACTGACACTTGTAGGTTCCATGGCAGCTAATATAGAGTAATAGTTTAGATTGCAGCCATTTTTAATACCATACCTCGAACAATATCTGTGCTCGATCGCTAAGCAAGCACCTGGACATATTCATGCCTGTTGTTGCTCACAGTACATCTATATGTTACTGTCGTCTCTCTTCCCCTGACTCTCAGAGTGTTATTATAGACAGTGTTACTTGATGTGTCCACTATGATCTGACTGGTGGTGTGGTTACTGTCTTCCTCTACTGTCACTGTGTTTCCTTCTGCAGTCCTCCTCCACACACCTCTGTGACTGGTCCTCCCTCACTCTGACATGTGAGAGTGAACTCAGGAGGATCCTCATTTGCCTCTGAGTCCAGAGTGAAGTACATGACTGGTGATGTCAATTCACCTGTTTGTACTTTTGGAAATGAGTCACTTTAATAGAGTAGATAGCTACCTGTGTCTGGAGTCCCAAGGTAGATGTAGATACTCTGCTGTACTCCATTACTATCAGGTATATCACATCTCCACATTCCTGTAGTCCCTCCTCTTCTGCGATTGAGATAGACCACTCCATCTCCTCTAGTGACATACAGGTCACCCTCTCCATCTGGTCCCTGCTGGACTTGTCTCCCCATCTCATCATACCAGTCACCTTGTCCATTGCTACAACACTCTGAGTTGTCAGTCACACAATGCAGTGAGTCATTGTGGCCTTCTCCAATGTTTACTGGTTGTCCACGAACTATGAAAGAGTTGTTTACCAGAACATCTCCTCTGATCAACTCAAATCGAGGGTAGGGCTGAGAGCTAACTCCTGCTACTACAGTAAATAGCAGCAGTTTCAAAGGAAAGCAGATTACCATAACTACTGTGTTCATCGGCTACTGCTACTCCAGTGAAATGCAGTGGTCTATAAACCAAAATGAACAGGAAGTACTACAGAGTGGCATACTGTCCTATTTCATTTACATGTACATAAATACAAACACTACACATACATAGTGTAGGAGGAGCTTTATCTGAAACTGCAGTTAGTTCTCAATCCCTCGATTTGAGTCACAAGCAAAAAAAAACAGCAATAGGATTCTCAATTTGTGTACAGAAAATGCAAGTTCGGTCTTTATGCACTGTAGTCTCTGTTTATAATTGAGGAAGCACCACCCTTGATAAAAAAAATTGCCACATGTGCAGATCTGATGCACGCATGCCACTGCCCCCACACACTTACAGAGTGCAGAGTGCAGTCATGCGGCAAGAGTTGTCGGTTCCAAGTATCTTACATTTCCCACTGCTCGGTTAAAAACATGGTTAATTGTAACTGACATCAAAATGGGAAACAGTGATTCAGTACAAAAAGCATTTTAACTACGAGTGGATACCTCACCAAATACCTACAATCATTCACACTACAAAAATTCAAATGACTTCCTTAAACTCAAAATTAGCGTAAGTGTCAAAGTTGTCCAAGTACATATTGACGACTTCGTGACAGAACACATAGTGATCCTATTGTGTAGACGGAATAAGATGGCACACATTTCTTTACTAGCAGTAGGTAACTAAAGGCTAACTCTGCTTGCACTTGTAAAAAATGAGGTAGAAAGGCAAAGGCAAAAACAAACAAGTCAACTACAACCAGGAGAGCTCTTTTTCCAAGGAGAAAAAACTGCCCTGGGTGGGATTCGAACCCATGAAACTCTGCGGTCTAGGTAGCAAAGCACATCTGAAGTCACAGTATGAGCAAACTCACAGTGTTGTTGACGAGGCCAGGTCTGTGAAGACGAGCTGACTTGATGGCCTGGAGAAAGTCCACCACACCCTCTGTCTTGAGTCTCTCCAACTGGCAGTGGATGGTGAGGAAGGTTCCTGTTCGACTCACCCCATCACTGCAGAGGACACACTAGTCCACTCACACACACACTTCCTCTCCACATATACCTGCACATGATGACCGTTCGTCTGTTCCCACACCTCATCTGGGTACTGGTGAGCTGGTCAATGAGAGACAGGATTGCCGTGGGGTGGGGAAGACCCTGCAATGGCCAGCTCGTCAGCTGGAGCAGGTGGACCATGTGAGGTCTATTGAGTCGAGCTGCTCCCTCCACCATCTCCAGCTTCCTAGTGACAATGTCTCCGTGAGTCTTGACTGACACCAGTTTGACAGACAGTTTCCCGTGCACCACAGACTCCCCTTCCTCCTCTGGCCAGAAACAGCAGCTACTCTCCTACAGTGTAATGTGCACACCTGGTTAAGGGGGCAGAGGGGAATGAAGGTAAATCACCTCTCCCTCTTCCTGGAGCATGACTACACAGCCACACTGGAACTCGTTGACCATCCTCCAGAAGTCAGCCACTGTGTTCTCCAGTGGACACTGGGTAGCTATGTAGGCACCTTTCTGCTTGTAGCCCTGACACCAGATAAGGACATGTGTCATGGAGTTAGAATAAGTGGTTGCACTTTTCTTACGTTGACAAAGGAGGCATTGATGTAGTCTGAACCTGGCATGGGTCCACATCTCAGTCTCACACGATAAGTGTCATCTATGTCAATACAACACACACACATACTTCCACGTTCACATGTTTGACTGGGCATGTTTGTGTATCAACAAGCCAAACCGCTTACAAACCACTTATGTTGCACACACAAAGCAGCTAGCAATGAACAACATACACTCACTGGGTAGTTTGTCAGGGAATCTGTTGTTACTCCTGTTGTACTCCTCCTCTGCATAACTGAAGGTAACTGGATGGTGAGAACTCACCTCCTCAATTATCTGCAAATAATTGGCCATACAAAACTGTGTGTGGCTAAGTGCCAGTCAAAAACCTTCATCTGTCTCTGGAAGCCAGTCAATCCATCTGGTCCCTTGTTCGTCAAGTTTTTGAGGGCAATTCTGAGGTTGGCTGCAGCAACCTCTGTCTCCCCACACACCACCAGCTCACTCAGACCACAGTGAATGAACTCATACTGTTGCTGTATTATTAGCATTCACATAGTACTCAGCATTAAAACACTACTTATTGGCTGCAGTAACCCCTCCCTTTCTGTACTTATAGCTCCCATCCCATGTTGCTTGTTAATGAAAGGGTCCACCCCATTTCTCTGACCTGGCTCTGGACCATCTTCATTCTCTGCATGCGTAAGTTCCTCAGCCAGTGGAGAACACTGATAGTGCCCTCTGTCTTCATCTGCTGCATGATGATGTCCAGGAGGATGAGTGTCCCCGTACGCCCCACCCCCGCACTGCAGTGGACCAGCAGTGGCTGCTGGTGGGAGACGGGGTGGAGTTTACGGACGTGACGGATGAAGGCAATGAGAGACATGACGTTGTCGGGCACTCCGTGATCAGGCCAGGCCGTGTAGTGGAGATGACTCACTGTCATGTGCTTACTCTCTGACTCTGACAACTAGACATGTACACACAAAGAGGGTGAAATATAAAACGGTGAAAGAGACTTACATTTTCAAGTTTGAATTTCCTGAATTCATACTCGGCAAACGGCATGTTGGAAGAGAAGGTGACACGGAACTTTCCCCCCACACTGAGGGAGTCATGTAGCTTCTCTGGCCAGTACTGCACACACTTGACCTGAGGATTAGTAGCAGATGAGGTGTGCATCAGTCCAGAGTCTTTTAGGCAAAGTGTCTGTCACTTGTAACAGAGCTAGTCCCTATCCTACCACTCGGAGGTCACAATACACTAAAGCATTAGCGAAAGAGAAGGGAAGCGCGAAAATACTAGGCAACAGCGGGTAGGAAGGGACAGTGGGTGGGTGAAAGGGCAGGATAGCCAAAGTAGGCAGTGAAGTTGTCGATCGCAGAGGTCAAAAGACAGGAGAGAGATAGACAACGAGCGCCTCTTGTCTGAAACCAGTGTCCTTGTAGTCATGTCCCTACGCAGGCAGATACACTAGTCAGATGGTGGATCAAAAGGGTCCTTGTAGAGGCATAACTCGCTTAGTCTCTCGGAGGGTCCCTTTAACAGAGGTTCCACTTGTATTGTATGCCATAGACCCTTCCAGCCTCAGTGCACTGGGTGAGCTGAGTATTGTTGGTGTCTCATACTCCCAGACCATCCTCCAGAAACGCTCCACAGACACATCCACTGGCCCTGTTTGATGTAGGACAGTATATGCACCATGTTTACTGCTAATAGTGCTTTTTATGTTTTCAGTTGTATGTATGACCTTGTGCTGCGATATAGGCATTTTCCTCCCTCCATACCCTGTGATCAGATTCAAAATATCCACACACATGATTCTCGAAAGTTTTGTCTCTGTATAGTCTCACATCAATGAGAGAGCATTGATATAGTCACAGCTGTGCCACTCCAGGGGTCGCCTGAGACACACGCGAGAGACCTGTTGTCTCGGCATAAGTTACATTAGGTGTGTATGCTGTGTATACTGGCAATAGAGAATGTATCAAGCACTGCAGCTCACAAGGATAGATGTTGTTGAATCTGTTGTGTGCCTGGTGGTGTGGTGTAGGACAGCCACAGTGGAGTGTTGAGGTAGCTTCCACCAGGGCCTGTGTATGTTTGTACAGAAACGGTGCTATCATCACACTCTCCCACAGTGTTAGAAACACAATGCAAGACATGCATTTGCACTGTCAAATGCTCTTTCGTTGTGCCGACATCAGTGACACAACACAGAGGAGAAAAAAAAGTAGGGTAGAGAAGACCTCAACCATGCTGAAACCATATAAGGAGATCTCACCGATAACTGCTTCTTTCCAGTTATGTTTCCTCTCCATAAGAAAAAAAAAAAGAAAAAAAAAAAAAAGAAAAAAAAAAAAAAAAACAGCAGCATGTCCCTCCCATACTCTGGGAACCTCTCAGTCGGTAATGTGTGGGTGGCATGTCTGTCACTGGGAAGTGAGGAGAGAGTGTGTGTGTCCTTTTCCTGTGTAAATGTATTGGGCTACCAATATTTACAGTAATATGGCCGTAGGATCGTGAAGTAATCTTCAGTTTCCTCCTGCATCTGGTTTGGGACTCCATCCTCCTCACATGTTTCATCATCCACCACCGCATTCACCCGAGAGGACCTCCTTGCAAAGGAATGTCTATCAGTCTGTCCTCTCGCCCTCCCCAATACTGCCCTCCCCTACACTGTCTGTGGATGGCTCTTTCTTGCTATTGACAAGTTGCCCCATAAAACGCACTTTGAACGAGTCACCTCTTCTGGCATGACGCTGCGTGCTGAGGAAGACATACATAGCATGGTTATTATAATACTCCCTACTGCCTACATTACCTTAGAAAATGAAGATATGGACGATTACTGTTGTTAGAACAGCATGTAGACTGAATACTAACCGCAACTAGGTCAGCACTAGGGACGAAGACCCAGACTGGCCATCATAGCTCTCTGTGTTCGATCTTCGTAAACAGAAGGTATGCATGTGTTTAGGTTGCAGTCACATTTTGCGTGAAACAGGGCTATCCTGAGGAAACTTATAGTTCACATGCATACATTTTATAAACTGACGCGACTGATGGGTCTATATACAGCCAAGATCTTAAACAAACAGCATTACAGTGGCGCCTGGTGGTCAAGGTGTTCATGGTAGGTAGTGGCGAGTTTTGACACTGCTCGTTCTGGTGTTCGTGGCCGGGACTACTGAACCTGTGTGACAAACCTCACGAAACTGTTCAAATGCTGACAACATAAGTAGCGAGAAGAACGCAGAGGAACAAACAAAAAGGGAAGACGCAACAGCACATATAGAAGAGACAAAAAGAAGAGGGGGCTTTACAGAGGAGCGAAATGAAATGAAGTCGAAAGGATAGATGACAAAGTCAGGGTAAAGTGAATGCAAAAAGAGGAACAACAAAATTGTGAGGATCACGAAAGTAGTCAAGAAAAAGAGTACAGGTAAAGAAAAAGAGGAGGCAATAACCAAACGAGACAGGTGGAACATGGAAACTAGAGCGTAGCGAAAGCAGAAAAGGGCTGCCTTCCCAACTCCTTCTCAAGAAAACCAAAAATACAGAAAAAAAAAAAAATCGGCATAATGAAGGCTGTATTATCAACATCCTGAAGATATAATATTGTGGTCATGTGGCTTATTTCATGGTATAGTTTTGTGCACAAGGTTCTACCTATAGTAGTAGTATATAGTTTTGTCCCCACCACTCCTGACACCGCTACCTCTGGAGACTCTGCTGCAATTGAATGTAATTTTTAGTATCTTTAGAGCACATAAAGTTGTTAGTTATATACCAGGAGTGACAGGTCCAACCACAGGACTGGGAAGGTCTACGAGAGCCACTAGAAAGATAGTGTGGATCCCTCCAATTGGAAGACCAGTCAATAGACAACTACTGTCTCTGATTCTCCCACTGTCAGTGAAGGACACACTGTGACCTCTCCCCCAGACTCATAGTAGACCACATAGCTATAGTCATAGATGGGTGCACTGGCAAATGTCCACTCTAGTGAGATACTGGTGGGGGTCTTGTAGGTAGCACTGACACTTGTAGGTTCCATGGCAGCTAATATAGAGTAATAGTTTAGATTGCAGCCATTTTAATACCATACCTCGAACAATTATCTGTGCCGATTGCAAGCAAGGAACCTTGGACATATTCATGCCTGTTGTTGCTCACAGTACAGTTATATGTTACAGTTGTCTCTCTTCCCCTGACTCTCAGAGTGTTATTATAGACAGTGTTACTTGATGTGTCCACTATGATCTGACTGGTGGTGTGTCTACTGTCTTCCTCTACTGTCACTGTGTTTCCTTCTGCAGTCCTCCTCCACACCACCTCTGTGACTGGTCCTCCCTTACTCTGACATGTGAGAGTGAACTCAGGAGGATCCTCATTTGCCTCTGAGTCCAGAGTGAAGTACATGACTGCTGACCTCAATTCACCTGTTTTATACTTTCAGTAAATGAGAAGTCACTTATGGAGAATAGCTACCTGTGGTTGGAGTCCCAAGGTAGATGTAGATACTCTGCTGTACACCATTACTATCAGGTATATCACATCTCCACATTCCTGAAGTTCCTCCTCTTCTGCGATTGAGATAGACCACTCCATCTCCTCTAGTGACATACAGGTCACCCTCTCCATCTGGTCCCTGCTGGACTTGTCTTCCCCTCTCATCATACCAGTCACCTTGTCCATTGCTACAACACTCTGAGTTGTCAGTCACACAATGCAGTGAGTCATTGTGGCCTTCTCCAATGTTTACTGGTTGTCCACGAACTATGAAAGAGTTGTTTACCAGAACATCTCCTCTGAACTCAAATCGAGGGTAGGACTGAGAGCTAACTCCTACTACTACAGCAAATAGCAGGAGTTTCAAGATTACCATAACTACCATGTTCACGCTATGGCGGCTGCTGCTGCTGCTACTGCTACTCCACTGAAGTGGAATGGTCCAATAAACCAAATGAACAGGAAGTACCAGAGTGGCATCCTGTTCAAGTTATGATTTGCCAAAAACATTGTGTATAGCAAGTACAAACTCTATGTAGTGTAGGAAGAGCATTTACTGTTGGGAAGCTGTCAAAACCTATCCTCCATTTACTCCTGGGGACCTCCTAAATAAGTAGGGGAACTCCACCATCCTAACTGATGATTGGCATATATGGTAAGTGAAGGTTATGGATTACATCTGCCCCTCATCGGTTTCTTACTATGTTTTCTATATGAATACCCCACAAACCTTTAAATTTGCAATATGTGTGCATGATAATTGTGTAACACACACTAGCGGACTAATGCGAGGACTAATGAAAACAGATAGAAACGACAATGGAGACCCACAAACTATGAAAGAGGTTGTTACAAGAACATCTCTGAACAACTGAAATTGAGGGTAGGACTGAGCACTGACCCCTTGTGTCAAAAGCAAAAACAAACAGCGCAATAGGATTCTCAATTTGTGTACAGAAAATGCAAGTTCGGTCTTTATGCACTGTAGTCTCTGTTATAATTGAGGGAGCACCACCCTCGATAAAAAAAAATGCCACATGCGCATATCTGATGCACACACACACGCCCTCACACACTTACAGAGTGCAGTCATGTGGCAAGAGTTGTCAGTTCCAAGTATAATTATATCTTACATCTCCCACTGCTCAACTCCATAGTAGGGGGCTCCTTTTATACCAAAGGGGAGGGTGAAGGGTGGATGAACAGCAGCATAACCAAAGGTCTCAGGTTTAAACCCTGCATTGCTTTATTAGTCTAAGGAACTGGGCCAAGTTCAAGGTTTAGTTGAGGTCAAAAACGTGGATTATTGTAACTGACATCAAAATGGGAAACAGTGATTCATACAAAAAGCATTTGAACTAGCTACGAGTGGATACTCCACCATAATACCATTCACACCACAAAATGTCAAATGACTTCCTTGAACTCAAAATTAGCGTAAGTGTCAAAGTTGTCCAAGTACATATTGACGACTTCGTGACAGAACACGTAGTGATCCTATGTAGAGACAAAAAGAGGGCACACATTTCTTTACACTAGCAGTAGGTAACTAAAGGCTGCTTCATGCAGTGACTCTGCACTTGTAAAAAATGAGGTACAAAGGCAAAGGCAAAAACAACAAGTCAACTACAACCAGGAGAGCTCTTTTTCCAAGGAGAAAAAACTGCCCTGGGTGGGATTCGAACCCATGAAACTCTGCGGTCTAGGTAGCAAAGCACATCTGAAGTCACCGTAAAAATGAGCAAACTCACAGTGTTGTTGACGAGGCCAGGTCTGTGAAGACGAGCTGACTTGATGGCCTGGAGAAAGTCCACCACACCCTCTGTCTTGAGTCTCTCCAACTGGCAGTGGATGGTGAGGAAGGTTCCTGTTCGACTCACCCCATCACTGCAGAGGACACACTAGTCCACTCACACACACTTCCTCTCCACATATACCTGCACATGATGACCGTTCGTCTGTTCCCACACCTCATCTGGGTACTGGTGAGCTGGTCAATGAGAGACAGGATTGCCGTGGGGTGGGGAAGACCCTGCAATGGCCAGCTCGTCAGCTGGAGCAGGTGGACCATGTGAGGTCTATTGAGTCGAGCTGCTCCCTCCACCATCTCCAGCTTCCTAGTGACAATGTCTCCGTGAGTCTTGACTGACACCAGTTTGACAGACAGTTTCCCGTGCACCACAGACTCCCCTTCCTCCTCTGGCCAGAAACAGCAGCTACTCTCCTACAGTGTAATGTGCACACCTGGTTAAGGGGGCAGAGGGGAATGAAGGTAAATTCACCTCTCCCTCTTCCTGGAGCATGACTACACAGCCACACTGGAACTCGTTGACCATCCTCCAGAAGTCAGCCACTGTGTTCTCCAGTGGACACTGGGTAGCTATGTAGGCACCTTTCTGCTTGTAGCCCTGACACCAGATAAGGACATGTGTCATGGAGTTAGAATAAGTGGCTGCATTTTTCTTACGTTGACAAAGGAGGCATTGATGTAGTCTGAACCTGGCATGGGTCCACATCTCAGTCTCACACGATAAGTATCATCTATGTCAATACAACACACACACATACTTACATGTTCACATGTTTGACTGGGCATGTTTGTGTATCAACAAGCCAAACCACTTATGTTGCACACAAATAGTAGCAATCAACAACATACACTCACTGGGTAGTTTGTCAGGGAATCTGTTCTTACTCCTGTTGTACTCCTCCTCTGCATAACTGAAGGTAACTGGATGGTGAGAACTCACCTCCTCAATTATCTGCAAATATTGGCCATACAAAACTGTGTGTGGCTAAGTGCCAGTCAAAAACCTTCATCTGCCTCTGGAAGCCAGTCAATCCATCTGGTCCCTTTTTCTTCAAGTTTTTGATGGCAATTCTGAGGTTGGCTGCAGCCACCTCTGTCTCCCCACACACCACCAGCTCACTCAGACCACAGTGAATGAACTCATACTGTTGCTGAATTAGCATTAACATATGCATTAAAACGTCATGTGCACACAGTAACTCTTCCCTTTGTGTAGTTATAGCTCCCATCCCATGTTGCTTTAGAAGTTAATCAAAGGGTTCACCCCATTCTCTGACCTGGCTCTGCACACACTTGACCTGAGGATAAAAATGTGTGTGTGTCAGTCAGTCATGATGTCAGTCAATAACAACATCACAACTATCTTTATCCATTACAGTGGAATCTCAAAACAAGGGGACACTTTGGGCAAATGATTATGCCACTTGTAGAGAGGTTGTCCGTATCTCAGAGGTAAAATAATATACTAATGCGGTTGAAACCAGTGTCCTTTGTAGAGAGGTTGTCCTTATCTCGGAGGGTCCCTTATCAGAGGTTCCACTGTATTGTATGCCATACCTTCCCAGCCTCGGTACACTGGGTGAGCATGAGTATTGTTGGTGTCTCATACTCCCAGACCATCCTCCAGAAACTCTCCACAGACACATCCACTGGCCCTGTTGATGTAGGACACGTATATGCACCATGTTTACTTCTAATAGTGCTTTTTATGTATGTTCAGTTGTATGTATGACCTTGTGCTGCGATATAGGCCTTTTCCTCCCTCCATACCCCTGTGATAGAATCAAAATACACACACGATATTTTTGAAGTTCTGTCTATTTATAGTCTCACATCAATGAAAGAGGCATTGATATAGTCACAGCTGTCCACTCCAGGGGTCGCCTTGAGACACACACGAGACCTGTCACCTGCATAATGTTACATAAGGTGTCTACTGCTGTGTATATAGCAATAGATATCTGATAATAATATGTGTATCAAGCACGGCAGCTCACAAGGATAGATGTTGTTGAATCTGTTGTGTGCCTTGTTGTGTGGTAGGACAGCCACAGTGGAGGGTGGTTGAGGTAGCTTTCCCATTGCCTGTGTATGTTTACAGAAATGGTGCTATCATCACACTCGCCCACAGTGTTGGGAGAAAAACATGCATGACAGTCCATTTGCACTGTTTTTTTTCAAAATAAAGCTCTTTCATCTTAATACATAGTATACACAAGCATTCTTCAATCACGTGGGAGGAAGACCATATAAGGAGATCTTGAGAACTCTGCTTTCAGTTTATGTTCCTCTCCATACAGCATGTCCCTTACATACTCTGGGAACCTCTCAGTCGGTATTGGGTCAATGTCTGCCACTGGGAAAGTGAAGAGAGTGAATGGTGTTTCCTTTTCCTGTGTAAATGTATTGGGCTATCAATATTTACATAATATGGATGTAGGATCTTGAAAGTAATCTTCAGTTTCCTCCTGCATCTGGTTTGGGACTCCATCCTCCTCATATGTTTCATCATCCACCACCGCATTCACGAGAGGACCCTCTACTTCAATTCCTTCATTCTTTCCCTCTTCTCCCTCCTCAATACTGCCCTCCCCTACACTGCCTGTTGGATAGCTCTTTCTTGCTATTGACAAGTTGCCCTCTTTGAACGAGTACTTCCTCCTGGCATTACGCTGGTGTCTGAGGAAAAGATAATATTAAAACTCTTATTATCATTACTCCAACTGTACTTACCTTAGCAAAATGAACATTAATACAATTACAGTTGTTAGAACAGCAATGAAGACTGAAATACTAACAGCAACCGGAAGAGCCAGGGAGGACCCGGACTGACTTTCACCTACATGAGAGGAATATATGATCCAGCTATTTTGTTGCTATACAGCATTGCAATAGATCCTCAGCCATTTGCCTTTGTTGTACCTTATAACCACAATGTTGTATGGGGTATGTTTTCTCTATGTGGTAAGATAAACTGACAAAACTACGATTACAACTGGCAGTGTTGGCAGCCATTTTAAACAGGAAATAGTACAAATACACACGATGTACTTCATTTTGTGAACGTTAAAATTTAAATCTGGCTCGTCCACCAAACCAACAATAGCAATACAAGGAAAAGTCATAATTCCCATTGGGTAATGGGGTATCAAACTTATAATCCTGCATGCTCATACCTGATGTCATTTCCATGGTGGGTAATGTGGCAAATTTCTCAACACTGCTCCTACTGGATCTGAGTGTAGTGTTGGTGGCCAGGACTTGAACATAGTAGGTGGTGTTGTCTCTCAGACCAGACAATTTGACTGAGTAGGTCATCACACCCTCTTCACTGTGTGTCCTGCTGCTATTGTGGATCAGACTCTCCCTACTAGTGCCATACTGTACTACATATGTCTCTGGAGAGTAGGATATGTGGGACACTCTCCACTGGACCGTGACACTGTCTGACTGTACTTCCCAGATATGCATCACCAGTGGCTCCAGATATGGTGAGTCTTGAGTCAGGTCTCACTGGGACTCCCTCTTGAAACCAAGTCACCTCCACTGCTACATCTCTTCCTCTCACCACTCCAATCAGATCAATATCACAATATACTACCACATCTTCTCCGACTAGGATAGTGTCTTCACTTATTCTGAGCATCACAGATGGAGGTGCAACTGCATGTTTAGGCATGTTAAAGTCGGTCAGCAGTGAAGAGAACTTACTAATGGGTATAACTTTTGCTGTGTCACTTGTTGTAACAGTTGTCCCTCCATCCACAGTGTAGCTGGCAGTACAGGTGTAGTCTCCTCCATGAGCCAGTGATAGTTGGTCTAGTGAGAGTTGACTGGTGAGCTCTCTATTGTCAGTTGTGTCAACAGTTTGTTCATCAGTGGATGGTCCCAGCCACTGGACATCAAGAGAGTCTGGCTCCACTCCACTGGGTAGACTGACTCTACATGTCAGTGTGTATGAGGTCCCCACCACTCCTGACCCTTCTCCTGACACCACCACCTCTGGAGACTCTGCTGCAACTGAATGTATTATGTAAGGAATTTATCTTTAAAGCACAAAAAATCAGCGACTTGTATACCAGGAATGACAGCCACAGGACTGGGAAGGTCTACCAGAGCCACTAGATAGATAGTGTGGATCCCTCCAACTGGAAGACCAGTCGATAGATGACTATTGTCTCTGGATCTCCGTTTGTCAGCAAAGGACACACTGTGACTCTCTCCTCCAGACTCATAGTAGACCACATAGCTATAGTCATAGATGGGTGCACTGGCAAACGTCCACTCTAGTGAGATACTGGTGGGGGTCTTGTAGGTAGCACTGACACTTGTAGGTTCCATCGCAACTAATATAGAGTAATAGATTAGATTGCAGCCATTTTTAATACCATACCTCGAACAAACATCTGTGCCGATCTTCTAAGCAAGGAACCTGGGACATACTCATGCCTGTTGCTGCTCACAGTACATCTATATGTTACAGTTGTCTCTCTTCCCCTGACTCTCAGAGTGTTGTTATAGACAGTGTTACTTGATGTGTCCACTATGATCTGACTGGTGGTGTGGTTACTGTCTTCCTCTACTGTCACTCCATTCCTCCTCCACACCACCTCTGTGACTGGTCCTCCCTTACTCTGACATGTGAGAGTGAACTCAGGAGGATCCTCATTTGCCTCTGAGTCCAGAGTGAAGTACATGGCTGGTGATGTCAATTCACCTGTTTGTACTTTTTGGAAATGAGTCACTTTAATAGAGTAGATAGCTACCTGTTTCTGGAGTCCCAAGGTAGATGTAGATACTCTGGTTCACACCATTACTATCAGGTATATCACATCTCCACATTCCTGAACTTCCTCCTCTTCGGCGATTGAGATAGACCACTCCATCTCCTCTAGTGACATACAGGTCACCCTCTCCATCTGGTCCCTGCTGGACTTGTCTCCCCCTCTCATCATACCAGTCACCTTGTCCATTGCTACAACACTCTGAGTTGTCAGTCACACAATGCAGTGAGTCATTGTAGCCTTCTCCAATGTTTACTGGTTGTCCACGAACTATGAAGGAGTTGTTTACCAGAACATCTCCTCTGAACTCAAAGTGAGGATAGGACTGAGAGCTAACTCCTACTACTACAGCAAATAGCAAGAGTTTCAAGATTACCATAATTACTATGTTCACGCTATGGCGGCTGCTGCTGCTGCTGCTACTCCAGTGAAATGCAGTGGTCTATAAACCAAATGAACAGGAAGTACCAGAGTGGCATCATGTTCAGGTTCAATGTTTTCCTTATATGACAAAACATTGTGTATTGCATGTGAAGTACAAACTCTATGTAGTGTATACAAGGGGAAAAATCATTTCTTCAAAATGAAAGGGGGATATAGGGATGGCTTGAAGCACCAAAAAGGAAGAAACAAGGGGTCATTACACAGCAAAGTTGCACAAAGCTACATGACATCATCCCTATATCTTTGTTTGATATTGTTTGATATTAAACTTTGCTTATAAACAATAAAACAGAGATATAGGGATGGTGTCATGTAGCTTTGTGCAACTTTGCTGTGTAATGACCCCTTGTTTCTTCCTTTTTGGTGCTTCAAGCCATCCCTATATCCCCCTTTCATTTTGAAGAAATGATTTTTCCCCTTGTTTCCACTATTTTTAACAGCTTCTGGCAACACTGCATTTATTGTTACAGTCACTCTGATGTTCATGGCTCTGTTGTAGATAGGCTACCATAGACAAATTGAAAGTAGTAGCTAATGACTGCTAGATACCACGTATTGTCTTCAACAAGGATGTAATTAGATTATTGCACATGGTTGTGGTTTCATTGGCAGGCTTTGGTAATCAGGCTACAACCTGGGGGGGACAAACAATGAAGGCCCATTTGACTGAGTGCCCCGCAAGGCTCGCGTAACACCGCGCAGACTGTGGCAAGTTGCTCTTCGTGCATATCAACAACAAGATAGCCAGTTGGAAATGTGCACACTTACTTACAGAAGGTACTGGAGGCTGACAGTTCCTCTGCAGGTCTGCCAACTCGCCCGGTAGAATACGCTCCCAAGCACATTGGACAACGCCCCTGCCTGGCGCATGCGCACTGATCACTGATGCTGAGTAAGCAGCAAATGGCGTTGTTCAGGTCGACCAGGGAAGAGCTCCATGATCTACCGTAGTGACTAGCGGCAAGAAAGAAACGATCGCTTGATGTCCGTGCACACCTCCGGCGAAATTGGAGACCTTCAGTGAAAAAATCAGTGCTTGAATTGGTACTGGTAAGGAGATAGCGGGTTTAAAGAAGAAGAAGAAGAAGAAGAAGAAGAAGATGAAGAATATGATGACACGAAAATCGTGAAATCGTGTATGAGCGAATTTCGCATGGACGACTGAAGGTGCGTATGAGCTCTTGGGGGACATGTATAGGTAGATATGGGCCCGCAGACTATTGCTAGTATGTTTTGAAGGCCTAGGAAGTGATTCTCACCGAGTTTTTAGTCGTTTTGTACGCGGATCACGTGAGATTTCACCCGTGTCATCCCTATATAGAGAGTCTACCGACTCTCTAAT